GTACCAGAGATTAGGAAGAGCTTGATACTTGGTTTGATGCTGATACTACATAATAAATGCCTTGAAAAGTGCCTTGGTTTGTCATATTCAATAAAATGGTATGTCCATCCATCCATTTTCTACTCCGCTTATCCTCACAAGGGTCGTGGACGTGCTGGAGCCTATCCCAGCAGTCTTCAAGCATTCAGCGGGGTACACCCTGAACTGATTGCCATTCAATCGCCGGGCACACAGAGACAAAGGACCATCCGCACTCGCACTGAGGGACAATTTAGAGTGTCCCATTAACCTGCCATGCATGTTTATGGAATGTTGGAGGAATAAAATGGTATGCAGTAAAAAAAATGAATGAACTAAAAAAATAAAACCCACCGAGGCCTCCAAAAATTCAAACGGCATTGGTTTTTGATGTCCCCTGCATAGCTTGTGCCATCTCAAACTATCAACGATTCATCTTCCATGAATGGGTCACTTCCCGGACATTTGTGTGTGTGTGTGTGTAATTAAGACATTCATTTGGGAAACATTCCTGAGTTTTTGCAGATGAGATTCACTGTGTTGGTGCTGGGGGCATGAGCATAATGAGGAAAACAGTCATAAATCAAACTCTCTCAGTTGAGTCTAAGGTAATCAGCTGTGAGTCGGGTGGGAACCAAACCTTTGGGATGCAGTCACTCGCCGTAGAGAGGAAAGTTTTTATTCAGGACAGAGTGCAATGTGAAAAACTAGAGCTGCAGGACTCATTAGAAGAGTCGCAGTAGCTTCTTCTGAAATTTTTATACATGATCTGTTTTTTAGGTAACAGAGATGAGGAAACTGTGTGATGAATGTAATACGCAACGACATGGCAACAAATGCGTCTCAATCCAGACAGGACATGCACTGCCGAATAGACAGACAGATGTTGACGGGGCGATTTCATATATTTATGAGTGGGCTACCTCTTCGGGGGTGGGCTCATCACACAGTGTGGTATTACCGCCTTACCGCAGCTAAGTGTCTGGTGAGCTCAGGATGCGTATGATATTATCGGAGGAAAGTGACCTCAGCACTTGATCCTGATTTTCTCAATCAAAACAAGAATAACCATAATGGGGGTTCCTGATCTTGACTGGCACATCTGTTTACAGAGGGGGCTGTTATTAGAAAGGTCTCGAGTTACTCTCTCACTCTCGCGAGGTTTGCCTTGTAGGTATTTGTGATTTGTGACTTTGGTTTTTGCCCCGATGCTTCTGAATGTCATTGACTGTTGTGTTTGTAAATGCTTGGACGTGTTGTTTCATTGAGTTGCCTTGCCTTGCCTTCACCATCAGTTACTCAGTGGGAACATCATGGAAACAGTTGCTGCCTCTGTCCGTGGTCCTGGAACAGAGCAGCATGCTATGGACACTGAGTGGGGTTACCATGGATGATTTAGGCACGTAGAATGCACACTTAAGAGTAATTTATTTCTCAAAAAAATGCTGTTACAGTACTGTCGTTTTGTTATTGGTGACTTTGTGAAACAGTGATCACTCAACTCAACTCGGCTTGATTTATAAAGCCCTTTAAAACAGCCATAGCGGCACACAAAGTGCTGTGCATGGAGTAAAAATAGGTCATAAAACAACAAACACATTAGTTGTTATCAATTAATAAGTATGAACCAATTAAGGAATCAATCCATTTCTCAATTCATTTGTACTAACACATATGAGCAGTAGCTTGACCATGTGCACATGTTTTTGTCAAGGTTGGCAGGTAGCTGGCAAAATTGTCTGGAGTTTTTTTTTTGATCACTGGACCGGTAAATATTGTTTCATGTGCATCGACAATTGTCAGCAGCTTTTCTACAAATGCAACGACATTCGTTTGAAAAAAGGGTCTTCAAATGTGTGCACCAAATCATACTGGGCGGGGGAAATGTATTTGCTTTTACTGTAGTATATAATGCAACTTGGTTGAGCATAAATGTGTTCATGCTATTTAATTTTGTTTCTTTTATTGTTCTATAATATTTTGCTCCCCATCCATCCATTTTCTGATCCGCTTATCGTCAGAAGGGTGTGCTGGAGCCTGTCCCAGCCGTCTTCGTGTAGTAGGCCCGGGGGACACCCTGAACTGCAGGTTGCCAGCCAATCGCAGGGCACGCATAGACCAACAGCCATCTGCGCTCACACTCACATCGAGGGACAATTTGGAGTGTTCAATCAGCCTGCCATGCATGTTTGTGGAATGTGGGAGAAAACCGGAGTACCCGGAGAAAACCCACGCAGGCATGAGGAGAACATGCCAGACAGAACACGAAATCCTTCATCGCTGGAAGTTCCTGCAATTGGTACTTTTTCACGACGCTGGCAGAGACGTGGAAAGTGCAACTTTCTTCCATAAATGTCTCTTTCCCGAAGTTTCAGATTGACTGGAAAGCTTCAACTGCTTCATACGTGTCAGAAACTGTCGTTTTAGCCCCGTAGTTGCACGTTTAGATGATCTAAATGGGACATGATGGCACATAAAAAAACATCTGCCATCACCCGATCAGATAAAAAGCTCAGAAATTCTTGCATATTTTTGCTCTACCGATGAGGGAGAAATTATGCAAACTTATCCTGCAGGTCACACACCGTCTCCAACATGTTATTATGCGGCAAGAAATCCTTGTTTTCAGCTAACATTTCCTCCAGTAAATTCTGAAAAGATGATATTGCCGACTGGAGCTCTCACCAACCAAGTTAACAAGTCTTGCATCAGTATCCATCGCCTCCTGCATCTCTCAGCTTGAGTTTCGCGCACATGACTGTTTTGTGCGTAATGTAGTGGAATGTCAACAGTGCAGACAAACGGCGGAAAGCCTGCTCAGCGAGCCCATGCCGCGTCCCACGTCCACGGAGTGCCGGCCGTCACAATTGCCATGATTTTGGCCAAATTCCAAGTCACTCTTCTCGAAGAACTGTGTCAACTCCTTTAAGACGATATCCCCGGTTGTGCAGCTCAGAAGAGGAAGCAAACAAAGCAACTCTTTCCGGAAAGTCTTCCCATCCAAAATACTCACAAAAAGCTGTTCCAGACTCATTTGGTCACAGGACATATCTGTGGCAAGTGATATGGCTTCTGTTTTCTTCAAATCAGTAGGCAGACAGAAAAAAACAATTATCTGCTAAAAAAAAAAAAAAAAAAAAATCTTCAAATTGCTGTGTTAGCCGACATTTTCCTTTTCAGTCACGCACTTTATCATCAACTTGTCATCAGCGAATGGCTTCCCCGGCTATGTAATAAGGGTCCATGAAATTTGCAGTGATGCAGTGAAACGGACTTCTCATTAGGTTTGCTATTTTGTGTTTACGCTGATCAGATTTCGTTGGCTAATTGACGTTAAAGCTGGTCGCACGCATAGTGTTGAAGTGCCGCTTGGTCTGCACGTCTGTTTTGCAGTGGCGTGGTCTGGTAAAACAAAACCAAACCGGTGCGTCCTCTCAGACTGAAACTGAAGCTTCTCCTGTTCCATATTGCGCTTCTTTGCAAAGGCCATATTGTTCTTTGTGCATTATTTCCATTTACTCCCTGGCAATGCAGTATTCCGCTCTGCTGAGGCATTCGGCTAGCTGGTGACTAATAGAGATGATGATGAGTAAGTGCTCGTGTGACTTTCGCGCACGTGTGTGAAAGGGCATTACGGCTCAAGAGTGCGTTGAGGGATGAGGTTAAAATAGAGCCAAACTCGCTTTATCGACATTAGGCCAGGTTATAACGTCACTGAGTCAACACGGGTTCAACTCTTTGCTCTCGCAGGCTGGATTTGCGCCGCAGCCCGTTAATTGGGGATGGCTGCGGTAGATCGTATCCTTATATTCTCCGATCCATATCCACACACGCCCGCTTGAGGCTTCGCACTGACCCTTGAGGTTTTTTGCTCTCGGACCGAAACACAGTCAGCGCCAAATTAATAATGAATCGAGACATGTGGCGGCAAGGAGCTTTGAACTTTTGTGTTGGGTGTAAGACTTGAATGTGTTTCCTTCTGTGAAATGAATGACATTTGAAAGTAAGCAACATGGAGAATTTTTTTGTGAACGCTATGGTATAGACTCAAACAAAACTATTTGACACATACAAGAACAGCTTTCCTTTATTCCTTTCATCATGTTCATGTTCTCCTTCAACATTTGCATATGTCTCATTGTCCCCGCCAAAACTATTAGCGGCACGAGCTAATGAGGAGCCATTTTTTTTCTCCAAACGCATTAAATTTGCCATCTGCCTACGATAGACTTCCTCATTACACACAATCATCAGCGGAAAGTATTGCATATTAACGAATTTACCTCCAGAGAGCCATGATTCCAAGTGGTTGTTTTTGCTGCATCTGTTTCAGTCTTCATGCAAATGATTTGCAGAGATAGCAATCCCGTCTCATGTTTGAAACCAAAGACTGTCATGTTTCATGGAACAGTGCATGTAAAATGACTTTTTGAAGGGAACTTCGCTTCATGCAACCCGTGCATGAGTACCGATAGACCAGGTGTACTTTTTCAGTATGCCAGCTACTTATAAATATGGTCAAGGTGGTTGCAATGCGGGTGACATCGAAGGAGAATGAATGGGGATTTAACACTTCCTGGGGATAAGCCAAGTGCATCCATAATTACGAGCAAACTCCACCGAGCAGGCACCAGAAAGTGACAAACTAAAAATATTGCCCACCGAGCCGAACTCTAACGTTGGCACTGAATTGAATGGCTCCTATGTTTCCTTCAGGTGAATAACATGAGATCTAAAGTCATGATTTATTCATCGTTGTGTTTTATTAGGACAGTGCAGTGGGGCATGTGGTTCTCGAAAACGCCTTTGGACAAGACTTGGCACCATAATTTGTGACAAGGTGATGATACTATCAGACTCAGACGATGCTTGACGAGGATGATGAAAGTGACACAAGCACGCGCACACGCGTGAAATCCAGGGAGCTGGGTTTCCGGTAGAGGTCGCTAACATTTCAATGTATTGAAGGCATCAGAGGAGGAAGTGACAGACTCTGTGGCTTTTCGTCTCTGCAGCTCTCAGCCTCGATTGCAGCGCTTTTTTTTCCTCCCTGTGCTGGAAATTACCCTTTGAAGACGCATCTTCGGGCTGTGCGCGGAGCTTTCAGACCGGACCAGTTTACAACATGGCTTACTTGTGGATACACACCGTATGGATTTCCGGGGTCGGTTTCCTCTTTGGATTTCAAGGCAAGAAAACGTTTTGCTTTATTTTTATTTCATTTGGTATCGTTTTTCACAGGGAAATACTGTTCTTGGATGGGGGAATATAATGTTTGGTGTGCTGCTTGTGATTCGAGTTGATAAGGTTCATCCGTAAGTGACTTCGGTTCGTGTTTAAAAAAAAAAAACACTTGTGAGAAAGTCCCGGTATTGGAACCGTTGACTTAATTCTGCCAAATGAGCACATGAGCTGCAGGCTGGCTGTAAATAAAAGTTACACAGGGTGTGTGTGTGTGTGTGTGTGTGTGTGTGTGTGTGTGTGTGTGTGTGTGTACACGCGTGTGACCGCGCGCGCGTGTTTACGTGCATTTCCCTGTGCGTGCACGTGCGTGTTTTGCAAGTGTGCCCGCGTGTGAGCTATTGCGCGGATTCCCATGTGCGCGCACGTGTGTGTGTGCGCGTGTGCGTGTGCGTGTGTGTGTGCGCGCACGTGTGTGTGCGCGCGCGCCCGTGTGTGTGTGTGAGTGTAAGAGAGAGAGAGAGAGAGACTACATCCTATCCCAAATAATAAAAAAACACTGAGGTTGACCAACATCTTGCAATGAACTGGCATGCTTCAGATCTACACCAAAGATGTATCCGAACATCCCTGCACCCTCATACCAAGATTTAGCAGAAATCAATTTATGTGCCTCGTAATTGAGTTGACAAACAGAAAAAGATGTACAACCAGCACAATGCAAATTAAACAAATCATTTTGCAATGTAATAAAAATGTGGAAAACGGGTAAATGGGAGTCGGTCTGCAGAAGATTGATAATATAGCTTAGTGAAGATTGTTTTCAAAGTTTCTGTCCGTTTGTGTAATTAAATGCCAACAGTTGTGCATTGGAAGGCAGGGGCACAAGGCAACACACACTGAGCTTTTTTTTTTTTTCTTTTTCTTTTTTGTTTGGTTTTTTTGCATTGGTGGTCACACTATTTCCTGGTTTCTGCTTAACTGTTCATCACCAGTGTCTAAAATCACAGTTTGGACAGTGAGCACATTTATGATTTGAATGGAAAATAGTCATTGAATTATTTTTTTTTACGCAATGACACTTAGGCCGCTACTTTAGATGAGTTCGGCCACTCTGAAGTGGAAAGAATCGGACAGAACATCCAGCTTATGATGAATGTTAATGATTTTGCGTCTGCTTGGAATGCCTTCAAGCCGTTGTCGAGTGGCTTTTATGGTGCTGATAAGCGCCACAGTATGAACCCTTTCAGGGACAGCGCTTGCCACAGTTGGCCGCTTATCATGTTTTCAGGTGACATGGCGCATGAAAGGGTTACACTGGTTTTATCTGAGTTACCAGTTGCGTTTCTAGCCTTTATTGTTTCTTATTCTTGTTACGTATTGTTCAGATACATCTTTTGTTTCAAATAAGTGTTTTATTTAGTATTACGATAGTTCATTCCTACTGTAGGTGCGATCCATATTGCAGTGTACCCTCATGGCTCACAAAATGTGGTCCACACGCATGCATTTTTCAGCATCCCATTATTTTTGTCCAGATTATTTGCGTGGTCATGAAGACATTTGTTGATTGTGCATTTGTAACTAATCTTGTGGCCTGTTGGTTGACAGCCAGTCCACATGGTCAATCACATGTACTTCATGGCCAGAGTACAACGTCATACAATCCTACACAAAACATCTTTATTTCGATACTAAAAGATGATTCCTCTGCTGAACATTCAAATAATAAACTCGGTCTGTGCCGAGTATTATTGAATAATCAGACGCTGCATTTCGGAAGACACAAGGTTGTTTTATGGGATTACAGGATTAAAGGTATTTAATAGTTTGCGTGTATTCAACCATTAAATACACGCACATTTCTGGATTCTATTAATGTCATTGCAACAGCTAATGCAACTGGCTCATACTGATGGATTCTCATTTTCGTGAATATCTGAGAGAAAAAAAATGTGCCTCTGTGAGTTTATGAGGCTTATTTGTACCTAATTCATGCTTTCTAGCAATTGCATTCGGCATGACTAGAGTCATTTGATGCAAATTTTTGAACAACTGGACAGACGACACGCAATGCAATCATCAGAGCCAAGTTTAGTAATGTTATGTAGTTTTAATTTGCCTCTGGGAGCATTCTACGTGAAATGCAATTTGGACTGTACTGTTGGGCATATAAGCGTATTCCTATCGTAAAGTCGGATATGGAGTGATATTTCAGTTACCAAATGGATTGTGGTTATCAGTATTACCAGGATATCGCTAAAATAAATGAAGAAAATGATCATCATAAAATCCAGATCTATACATCACTATTTCATTACTTTTAGTTACTTTTGGATTACCCCAATGACTATTTGATGATTTTACATGAACTCTGAGATTTTACTCAAGTAAATATCTGGTACAGGAAATAAAAGAACTCGAAATAGAAGAATGTGAATAATCACGATTTATTTTGGAGAATTTTGCAATCAATTATTGAAAAGATTGTCATCACTCGACAGCACAAATATACATCGATAAATAGATTGCTCGATCCCTTGTGCTGCAAAGTTCCTGAATCTTGCTCATTGGTGAGTCAGTAAACTCAAATCCTCACCGTTTCTACACTTCCAAGCTCAGGCATGGGGAGTGTGTCTTAAGTCATTTCTGTAAAAGATGGAGGCCTGAAGTAATAAAATGAACTCTTTTAAGACTCAGACAATGATTTACAGTCTCACTCAAGGTTTTGTGAACATGCCGATGTTTGGGAAAAAAAATGATGCTGGGCATCAGGGGATTCCAAAACATTGCGATGGAGGTCTTTGTTTTTCTCTCTCTCTCTCTCTCTCTCTCTCTCTCTCTCTCTCTCTCTCTCTTTCTCTTTCTCTTTCTTTGTGTGCAACAGCTGCTCAATAGTTCAACTGAAGCTGAATCTGGAGGGGGGTTATCTGTGGCATCATTAGATACGTGCCTTGTGTGTAGAACTTGAGTACATCCGTAGCAGGAGAAGAGTCGGGGACGTTCTGTACTGCCTCTCTGCTATTTCTTATTGTGTTTTACTGTCCTTCGACCTGTGGGTCTTTAGTCATTAATTTGTATTGATTTGTCTTGCTCTGTGTGTTGTGTTGTGTCAGTGGAATGACTCAGATGTGTGTGTGCCAGAGCCATGCCTGGAAAAAAAAAGTACTGATTGGATAAAGCGACCTTTTGCAACCTTTTTGTTGCTTTAAATGAAGTCATACTGTCTCATCATCGTTTATTTTTCATCCATGAGACAAGAAAATGTTAATGAGTTCACACGACTGAATTTGGTGTGTCGGATGGCTTTGATACGGTGATAGAATAACCTCAATTCCAGATGGCAATTTTGCAATTTCCAATGGTTCTACAATATTTGACTCTGTCAACTTATCAACAGACATATTGTGACATGTCTGTTGATAAGTTGACAGAGAAGGGGGAAAGCCAATCACAAATGTTTGTGATTTCGGTCTTCCATCTTCCACCGGTCTAACAATGTGAAATTGTGAATATGAAGTTGAATTTCTGAGTCAAGTACAGGTGTCAAGTAGTTGCACAAAAATCAAAGCCACCCTCATGCAACTTGTCTTGCAAAATCTCAGCGAGCGCCACAAGACTGAATGCACTTCGGTGTCAATGAGTATGGAAAGGTTAAAATTCAAAGCTGTGTTTTGTTCTTTATTTTGCTTTTTCTTCATGCCAGGTTACCAGCAGTCCTCAACTGGATTGAAAAGTATGCCACTGAATGTAGGAATGAATTTTCCAGTCATCTCGAATGCAGCAGGTTTCACTTTTTTTTCCATGCCTTTGTTCTTACACTTTACTGTAACATGCATTTGGACTGACAGCTACGTTTAGCGCAAGCTGTGGGTAATTAGTTTTGCTTAGTCCCCAAGTAGTAGCTTGAGAGGTCAGTAGACCGAGGGTCTCTACTCTCAAGTCTGACAGCTTTTATTAGAGCTGTCAGTCTGCAACATTATTTTCATCTGTCAATTTCTTCTGCTCCTTGACTGTCAATCCCGTCTATTGCGCTCTCTCTATCTCTCTCTTTCTCTCTCTCACACACACACACACACACACACACACACACACACACACACACACACACACACACACACACACACACACACACGGCGGGTGTGGGGTTGGGGGCTTCGACATGGGGCATTGGTGGGGACTTCATAAGCCCATTCAGAGGAGCCCCTCGAATGCATTTGAACTCTTTTTCCTCATGGGGACCTGATTTTTTTTTGTCCCCATTTACTGTATGGATACACATCTAAGGAGGAGGAGTTGTACCAGAGATTTGTCTGCTCACGCATGCTGAGACGTACCTAAGTAAAGGTATCTTTTTTTTCCCTCCACAATTTTGTGCGTACTTTTTGTTTGTAAAAAGAGTCGTTCGTAACTCGAGTGTCATGATCACGTTCTATTAGTGTCCAGCAGGTGGCAGAGGCGTTTGCGGTTTTACTGCTGTGCACCTGTCTGGCATCACAATTATTGGGACTAGTTAAGGACCTCAGGGAACCACGTCAAGGTGCCGGATAATTTTTTAGGCATTGACTCGCAAACCATGTCCATTTTGATTATGATGGATGAATGGAAACATGCTTTGAAGCGGCACGGGGAGAACATGCAAACTCCACAGAGGAAGGCCGTAAACGAACCCTACACCCTTGCACTGTGAGGTGCCGCCTGAGACCAATATTAATAATTTAAAAAAAGTAAAATCTCCATTTCGGTATTTTTTTGTTTTTCAAGAGTAGAAGTAAAAATAACAATAACTGTTCACAATTACCTCTATGGCCCAAGTTACAGCCCCAATGCATGAAGCTGCCACCACCATCACGCTTCAAAGTAGGTATGGTGTGCTTTTAGTGATAAACGGTGTTGTGTTTTGCGCAAAACATACTTTTTGGAATTATGGTAAAAAAAGTTCAAACTTGGCTTCATCAGACCAATGAAAAAGAATATCAGCAGGAAACGCGGATTTATAAAATGTATA